TGGTCATTCGACGGCCTCCTCAGTGGCGTATGCTCGATCTATCCATCTCCATTTTCTCCTACATATTTGTTGATCGATCGGCTCTTGCCTGTTGCTTTGTTCCCAGGCAGCCAGAGTTTCTCGTTGCTTATTCTATCTTGTTTTTTGATCTCCAGTATGGAGCCAGCGAATGTGGCAGCTGTTGATGAAAGTCTGCAACAGGCTGTTGGAAATCCTTTTCATGACACGCAGTGCAAATTTCTGATCCGTAGAGAAGAACCGATTTGACATTGGTGTTAAAAAATTCGAATCTTGTTCCTTATGCTGAGGTGGAGTGCATAAGATTTCCAAACTGGTTTCAGGTTGATGAAGGTGTGCGTATCTTGCTTTTCCGATTCTGACTGGTTTTGACATCTTCATCCGTTCCGACTGCATGTAGCTGAGACGATGCTTCCTAACCAGATAAGTGAAGGAGGCAAGAAAGGATAGTCTACCATTATCTTCTTCATTATTTTGTTATCATAATAATCATTCTTATTGGTTACAGGATTTCATCATGAGCTGACATTGGTTAGAGAACCACTAGAAAGCCTGAGAATACTGGGCAGCTGTTTCGTCCTAGTTTGGGGCTCGTCATCAGTACGCACCCACCGGGGTTCGAATCATTCTTATTACTGACGTTCACAGTATTCAACGCGTCGATGGCATAGCGGTTAGGACGCTCGCCGACCATGCACATGGTTCGGGGTTCGATTCCCGGCCGATGCACTCCTTTACCTCGCTAAGCCAGAAATAATGCTGGTAAAGAGAAAAGGTTGGGCATAAGGCTAGCAACCTCATCCTGTAAAATAAGCACTGCTACAGAAACTTCAAGCTACTAGCTTGAAGCCCAATGTTCCACTGAGGAACGTGAAGGAAAAAAAACAGTATTCAACATCCACAAACTCACCGTCATTGGTTAAAATGTTTATATGTGTTTTATATTTTTGTCTGTGTGCATGTGTATGTTGTTTGTTGTACAGAAAACACACATTAATTCATATATACATGTGAAAATCACGATTATATTTTCCAGAGTTCATAACATAGGATTGACTCAATTCTTATCTGTTTTGCTTCATTAGACTCTAACATATAATTGAGAAGTCTATGCTTTCTCTCCTAACTATTACATTCAATGGGTATTAAAGTATGCACAAGGCTTCAGACAGAGAGATCTGACTTTCTTTATATGTTTTTTTATTCCTTCACGTTCCCAGTGGAAAATAGGACTTCAAGCTAGAGGCTTGAAGTTTCTGTAGCAGTGTTTATTTTTACAGGATGGGGTTGCTAGCTTCATGCCCAACCTTCCCTCTTTGTCAGTTCTATTATTGGCTTAGTGAGGTAAAGGAGTGCGTCGGTGACCAGGGATCGAACCCCGGACTATGTGCATGGTTAGCGAGAGTCCTAACCGCTGTGCCACCGACGCACTTTTCTTTATATGTGTAGTGAATGAAAACCTTTTCCTAGAATTTCAACACTGTCGAAATTAATCGTATGTTTAGCTTTCTGCAGCATGCATTGCTATAGGTAATCTCTTGGCGAGACTCATTGCTACTCCATTTGTCTGTGACAGTATTATATTATTATTATTCCCTTTGCAGTGAGAGCTGGCTGCAAGCCAAAATTGTAAACAGCAATTTACGTCAATGTTTACGTCCCGAATCGGGGTCATGAGAAGAACAATAACAAAGCTTAACTGACCTTGAGGAACTCACCGACCAATCACAGTAGACCTAGCGTGTGCAAATACGATTCGCAGAGATATAGCTAAACTTTCTTAGAAACGGTCGGTCACAAGCAGTACAGATTAACCTTGAGCAAGAAAACAAACAATCAAAAGACGTTGCTTCTCCGCTAACAATAATGTACATAAAAATCCATAAATATCTGTTGATTTTCTCTATAAGCGCTCTGTTGCCTGGCCCTTGGCTTCTGTCATTACACCTTGAGTTCCGAGTGAAACATAGGGCTTCAACAACACATCTCCTTGTTTCTTATATTTGACGCTGTCCTCTTCAACCGCATCCACGATTGCCCATAATCTGTCATCTCCTACTCGAACTCACACGATTTCACCCTCTCACTGATGACCCTCTCGTCGGTTCTCAGTGGGATTCCACTAGAGTCATGGCCTGCATTGCACGCGATGTCTTTCGACAGCCTCCTCAACGTATGCCTGATCAATCCATCTCTATTTTCTCCTACATATTTAGAACAACACATTTAGGCGAACAATATTGTGGTTTCAATTAGATCTCATCAGGCTTAACTCTAATACACCTACATAAGTTTACAAATAAAAATTCAAATATAAACCAATCATAGTGTTTTGTCTATAGGATGATAAGATGGCGAATATAAATTGTGCAATTAGTCATAATAGTGGTAATGATAATAATAATGGTTTTATCAGTAATATGGATGATAAAATGAGGCAATCTGTGATAACACGAATAATGATAAACAGCATGACTGAACAAACAAATGTTCAGGTAGACGTGGTAGTCGATAAAGACTAATAAAAACAAATGAACCGATTAAGTAATGCTAAATTTTAAGGGAAGTATATGAAACATATTTGTTGAGTAATAGGCTCCCGGTTGGCTTGTTACCAGCCAGAGTTTCTTGTTGTTAATTCTTTCTAGCCGACCAACTAACCATTTGATCTTCAGAATAGTGACAGTATAGTTTATCTTTTTATCAGCACAAAATGTCTCAAATTAATCCATCTTAACCTTTTATTATTATTTTTATTTTTGTCCAGAGATGCGTTTGGAAAGCGTGCGCTTTGTGCGGCCAATATAACTAGCTCCACACGAGCAAGTGAATTTATAAACACACATTGAGGTGGCCCAAAGCGGTAGTTTATCCTTCACACACCCGTTGATCATTTGTCGGCTGTAGAAGTTGATACGTAGCTCAGCCATGAAGAAGGCTTTCCTCAGTGATCTGCATAAGCGATTCTTCAGGATCTCAGCTGTGGTATCACCTTTAAAATCAACACTCATAAACAATAGTTTCTTCGGCACCGTCTGTATTCTTTCACGTTTTTCCCTTGGCTTCATGTTTTTCTCGATAAATCTTGGAGGATATCCATTCTCTATGAGGACTTGTCTGAGTTGCTCCAGTTCCCCAACGATTGTATCACTTGAACATATCCTCCTTATTCTTGAGGATAAGGAATGGATCAAATTTCTCTTCCTTCTCAAAGGAACCCAGCTATGGAAATTTGTGTACTGACCATTCCATGTTGGTTTCCTGTAGATTGATCTTTGAAGAAAACCATCCGATCTCCTCTTTAGAAAAACATCCAAAAAATGGAATTCCGAGTTATTCTCTGATTCCGACGTGAACTTGATGGCATGATGGCAGCTGTTGAACACTTTGGTTATCAGTTCGATGTCGGTATTGTCGTCACATATGACTCAATAATAGACCACTATATATTTTTGTAAGTATAAATACGATTGTACAGCCTCTGAAGATGATTTCGTCGATAAAGAAAATTTTCTTCGCTGAATCTGTCTTTTAGTTTCTTCATTACAACACGAATAATGAAAAAAAACAGTATGATTAAACAAACAAATGTTCAGGTAGACGTGGTAGTCGATAAAGACTAATAAAAACAAATGAACCGATTAAGTAATGCTAAATTTTAAGGGAAGTATATGAAACATATTTGTTGAGTAATAGGCTCCCGGTTGGCTTGTTACCAGCCAGAGTTTCTTGTTGTTAATTCTTTCTAGCCGACCAACTAACCATTTGATCTTCAGAATAGTGACAGTATAGTTTATCTTTTTATCAGCACAAAATGTCTCACATTAATCCATCTTAACCTTTTATTATTATTTTTATTTTTGTTCAGAGATGCGTTTGGAAAGCGTGCGCTTTGTGCGGCCAATATAACTAGCTCCACACGAGCAAGTGAATTTATAAACACACATTGAGGTGGCCCAAAGCGGTAGTTTATCCTTCACACACCCGTTGATCATTTGTCGGCTGTAGAAGTTGATACGTAGCTCAGCCATGAAGAAGGCTTTCCTCAGTGATCTGCATAAGCGATTCTTCAGGATCTCAGCTGTGGTATCACCTTTAAAATCAACACTCATAAACAATAGTTTCTTCGGCACCGTCTGTATTCTTTCACGTTTTTCCCTTGGCTTCATGTTTTTCTCGATAAATCTTGGAGGATATCCATTCTCTATGAGGACTTGTCTGAGTTGCTCCAGTTCCCCAACGATTGTATCACTTGAACATATCCTCCTTATTCTTGAGGATAAGGAATGGATCAAATTTCTCTTCCTTCTCAAAGGAACCCAGCTATGGAAATTTGTGTACTGACCATTCCATGTTGGTTTCCTGTAGATTGATCTTTGAAGAAAACCATCCGATCTCCTCTTTAGAAAAACATCCAAAAAATGGAATTCCGAGTTATTCTCTGATTCCGACGTGAACTTGATGGCATGATGGCAGCTGTTGAACACTTTGGTTATCAGTTCGATGTCGGTATTGTCGTCACATATGACTCAATAATAGACCACTATATATTTTTGTAAGTATAAATACGATTGTACAGCCTCTGAAGATGATTTCGTCGATAAAGAAAATTTTCTTCGCTGAATCTGTCTTTTAGTTTCTTCATTACAACACGAATAATGAAAAAAACAGTATGATTAAACAAACAAGTGTTCAGGTGGAAGTAGTCGATAAAGGCTAGTAAAAACAAATGAACCAATCAAGTAATGCTAGATTGTAAGGGAAGTATATGAAACATATTTGTTGAGTAATAGGCTCCCTGTTGGCTTGTTACCAGCCAGAGTTTCTTGTTGCTAATTCTTTCTAGCCGACCAACTGACCATTTGACCTTCAGTGTAGTGACAGTATAGTAAGCACAAAGTGTTTTACAGTAATCCATTTAACCTTTTATTCTTCTTCTTAATATTATTGTTCTTTTTCTCTTGTATTTGTTTCTAATTCAGACACCTAATCCGTCAACTCCACCTGTCAAATCAACCGCTGAAAATGGTTACATGAATGATAATACTACTACTAATAATAATAATGGTGATAATAATGATAATGATGATGATAATGTATGTGTTAAAGTAAAATCGAAGAGTACTCATTCTTATCCACCTCTTCCTCCACTTTCATCAAATCGTATTGATTCTCATAAGACTCTTAAAGGAGTCCCTTCGAAATCCATCTCGTCTTCTCACTCCCCTCACCATCGTCAACAGGGACAAATATGATGAATGGTGTCAATGAGAATATCACTCCAGTGTCATATCCAATTATTAAATCCCCTGGTAATCATGAAGTACACAATATCGTCAATTCTATGACTACTACTACTAATACTATAAATAGTAATAATAATAATATGAACAATACTGATAGCTGTTTAAAAGATCATTTCACCTCAATAATACAATCACCACCACCATCATCATCATCATCGTTATCACCGCCTCCTTCACCGTCAGATTCTGAGTCGTCTGACAGTGAATCGACAACAGAGTCGATTTATCATCAACCACCAAAAGCAGCTGATCGTAGTGCTGCTTTTCGACTAGCAAAACGATTGTTTCATTTAGATGGATTTCGAATTACTGATGTTGCTAAGCATTTATGTAAACGGTAAGTCATTCTTTCTGTTTTTTTGTGTATTTTCAATTATTTATTATTATTTCAATAAATTTATTATTGTGATTATTACTGTCCCCATTTCTGTTTAATTCCATCTTAGTGGTAAACACTAATGGAGTTAACCCTTGCTGAATTCAGTGACTGAGGGATTGACATGTTACCAGGGTTTTTGACTTAGAATATACGGATGATATAGTCCTCCCTCTTAGGCGAAGACACTGACAAAATGTAGAGTCTTCTGAACACCTTCAGAAGCAACAATCTTCGAATGTTTGGCATGTGGTTCGCCTCTGTAACGTGGTGCTCCAGGACAGGACTACATTGACGCCTAGCTTAGAAATAGGGAATGAAGTGGTAGAGCACGTTGACCACTTCACTTATTTGGGAAATCGCATCAGCCAGTGCCAGCGGGTTGGTCGCTGACGAAATCTCTGCACAGTTACAGTAGGCTCGTTTGGCACATGCCGACTTACGTCATTTCTGGCTTAGTAGACGTGATATCCGGCTGGCTATCGACCAAAGGGCATGTGTACTGCTCAGTTGTTCGCTATGTCCCCTTTTATGGGTGGCTGTGAGACATGGCGACTGAAAGCGAAAGATACGAAAAGGCTACCTGTCTTTGAACAAAATTGCTTGCGTTCTATTTCTTGTGTTAGGTGTTATAATAGGGTGAGCAATATTGAGGTTAGACATCTGTCGAGTCTGTCTGTTTTCAACATAGAACTTTGCACATATGTGCGGCAGTTCAAGTCGCCACACTTCATGTAGCACACAAAGGAAGAGAAGAAAGTAGAAGAAATACATAATAGAGACACTAAACAGAGGTGTGAGGCAAAGGAATAGTAATATCATCATAGTTTCATTGGAAAAGATAAGTCACAAGGAGTGGATGCATCTACACTATGCATTGAGAACGATTTTGAGCCATGTCACCAATTGTTTCCAACCATTGGTTTTTACCGTCCCGAGGACCCCAACCGGGAAGTCTACACCTTCCTACGTGACTGGCTTAGACTAACTGTTGTGGATTTCATTGACTGATGAGGCCATGTTTTGGTTTGACCACACGCCACTAGCTCTTTTCCAGCCCGACCCTATATCAGCTAACATTGCCCATTGTCGAGGAAGATGATGACTAGGCATACGTAACGCATGTCCTAACCATCTCAGTCGATGTAATTTCACAGCCTCATCTACTGATTTCCCCTCCTTACCAACTAGCACTCGACCGATGCTTAACCTCAATATTGCTCACCTTATTATACCACTTCACACGGGAGATAGAGCGTAGGCACCTTAGCTAATAACCATTCTCCACCTTAGCTAGGCGGAGAGAGAGGTTGATTACTGAATCCTTGTTCATCGAATCTACACCCAACACACGTGCAATAGGGATGATTCATCACTCATACATGGAATATGGAAAATATTACTACCAATCAAATCAAGTGAAAAACAACGGAACTGTACCTTGATATGATTGATTATGAGCAGTAATAAATTGTGCTCGACACACAGTCATCAGTAAAAATTACTGTATAACAACACCCTGTGAGACTTTATCAAAACAAAATTTACCCATAATGGAATTACAAATTGTCCCGTTCTATAAATCGTCCACTTTAACAACCATGTTTGTATAGGAGGAGAAGGAGTATTCAGCTGACTGACGAGTTCTACTGGAATTTATGAATTCACTTCTTATATTTTCGCTTAGTTAGTTAGTTGGTTTCAATTATAAATCTATCCACATCCTTGTATACTGTTTATGTAAACAGAACTATGTATGTTTGTGTGTGTGTGAATGAGTGACTGAGTGGGTGATTGTTTCACATTGATTTGAACACCACGCGTCTGGTTGGTTGTGTTGTTTATATTTTTGAAAAATATACATTAATTTATAGACATTGAATACATTGAACAAGTTATCAAATATTGATTTATGTAGCTTACAGTTGTTATTGGATTTAATCCTGTGTGTATCTGTATGTATGTATTTATCGCGTGGTCATATTAATACCACCTCTACATATATATAACAAAGTTAACATGGCTTATTGTCTTAAAGCTAAAATGCCTATAAATGCAGTTGTATAGTGAAATGTGTACTGATATTAATCTACTGGTATTATTCCCTTGGATGGTCCCGAATGGAATATATAGGGCTTCGGTAGAACATCTCCATTTCATCCTGTTTTCCTCTGGCTCCATGATTGCCCATCTCCTCCTCGTGCTCATATGATCTCCGTGTTACCCTCGGGGTTCCACTCAAACGGGGGTGGCCTCGTCCCCCCCCCACCGACGTCACTCAGAAGTCTTCTCAGCGTGTGCCCGACCCATCTTCATTTTCTTTTTCAGCATGTTTGTTGGGCAATATGTGCTTGGTGTGTTGGTTGGGAAGTGCTTTACATGACTCGCCAAATCTATGAACCATATAGAAACACTGACTAACTTGACCGTTATTGTTGACAATCCGAATCTTGTTGTTTATGCTGACTGAGTGAAGATTTCCAAACTGATTTCAGCTTGATGAAGGCGTATCTTGCCTTGGAAGAGGTTTTAACCTAAAGTTTTGTGTACAGAAGTGTACCAGTCATTGTGTCAGCTGTTAACATTCCAAGAAGCCCAAGGGTCTATACCACCCCTCCCCCACCCCAAATGGCTGCCTCAAACTAGCAGTACAAACCACTGCAGAGATTGATGTCGGGTTTTGATATGATCATTACTAATTCTGTATCAGCCGACTGACTGACTGACTTCAATATAGGACTTTCCACAGACGTGCACCACTTAAACTTGCCACTCTCCCTCCATGTACCATACAAAGCAAGAGAAGAGAGTAAAGAGAGATTCTGAAGAGAGAGGAGTGAGGTAATAAGCAGAAGTGTGAGTGAGGTAAAAAGAACTGTAGTAACATGGAAGAGGAATACAGTTTTATTGGATATGACAAATGAATCACAAAGAGTGAATACAACTGCACGAGCTATTGACAACGATGATTTTTGGTCATATCACCAAATGTCTCAAGCCTTAATTGGTTCATACTATCCCGAGGACCCCAATCAGCAGTCAGGAAGCCAGTCTACACCTCCCTACGTGGCTGCTGGCTGGCTTAAACAAAGTATTATCGATTTGTTTGACTGATGAAGCCATATTTTGATTTGACCACCACTAACTAGTTCTTTTCTAACCTGATTAATCCTATATCAGCCAGCTGACATTGCCCATTGTGGAGGAAGGCTATGGCTTGGCTAGGCATGCATGCGTAACACATGTCGTAACCATCTTAATGGATATAGCTAGCTTCACAACCTCGTCGATTTGTTTTCCCTCCTTACCTAGCACTGGAACAAGGCATAACCTCAATATTACTCACCTTATTATACCATCCAACATGGGAGATAGAAGGCAGACAGCTATGATCTAGAGGGTATATATATATATATATACACATATATCCTAGATTCTATCCCTGGCAGGGTTTATTGTTTCGTACGATTACTGAAGAATCCCTGACTAAGACGAAACAGGCTTATCCAGTTACTCTCTAATTATCACAATGCTTCCTCTAACCAGCGTGTATATTGATCTGTAATGTAATCTCCTCAATGTTGAAATTGAAATGTTACAAGTCTATTCATTTGTAAAAGAAAACCAAACTAAGTGTCCTTCTTCTCCGCCATCGCCACCCCCAGCCCTTCCCCGTCTGCTTCCAAAAATAAAATCTGTAGTAGACTAATCTTCAGTTTATGTGAACGAAAAAAAGAAGAGAAAAGAAATGCCAACCAAAAAAAGGCGAAAAATAAGCTAAATAAATTTTTTGTTTTCCTGCTAAGATAAGTAAGTAGAACCATATAAAGTGAGTGAAGTAATTGTGTAATAGCATAGAAAAGATTAATTGAGTGAAGGAAGGGAGGGCAGGAAGTAAGGAGTGTTGTGATTGTGATGATTATAAAAGAAGTGTTCTCTAGACAGTGGAAATCAATTATATCTTATAAGTACTAAGTCTGAAGAGAAAAAAATAAATTAAATTGTGTGTCTGTCCACCTCTTTATCTGTCTGTCTTTCTATCTATCCCTTCATGCGTGTGCCTATCTGTCTATCCATCTATCGGTCTTCATACTATGCGCGTGTGTGTGCATGTGTGTATGTAGACATGTCAGAGTGAAAAGACATCAGAGGTTTGGAAGAGCAATAAATAGAGATATAGAGAGAGACATTTTATATTATCAAGTATTGGTTGTTTTGTAGGGATTTTGTTTGATGATTGCATGGAGGATTTCATCATGAGCTGACATCATCAGTTAGAGAACCATAGGAAAACCAACTGGGAATACTTGACAGCCAGCTGTTTCGTCAGCCTAGTTTGGGACTCTTCATCACTACGCACCCACCCAATTGGGGTTCAAACCCAGGACCTTCGGGTTACAAGGCAAGCTAGCTCGTAGACCATTGAGCCACTGGGACCTGATCAATGGTCAATCCATGAATTCTAACTTCTGCCAATTCACGACATAGCGCGACCATTTCGCAATGTCTTCTTCGATGAGTTACTGCCTCATTTTCAACCTGCTGTACGAGCTCGCCTTGCAACCAGATGGCCCTGAGTTCGAATCCCGGTGAGTGCGTACTACTGAAGAGTCCCAAACTAGGACGAAACGGCTGTCCAGTAGTCCCTGCAGGTATTCCAGTGGTTCTCTAACCGATGTCAGCTCATAATGAAATCCTCCATCCAATCAAACAAAATCCCTACAAAACAACCAATACATGAAAATTAATCTGATGCTCACTAGCGATTGGTCCTATTCAGGCAGTGACCTGGGGTTCTAGTGGGAAGCCGTGACCAATAGGGTACAGCAGGTTGAAAATGAGGCAGTAACTCATTGAAGAAGGCATTACGAAATGGTCGCGCTATGTCGTGAATCGGCAGAAGTTGGAATTCATGGGCTGCCTGGCCATTGGATCGGATCCCAGTGGCTCAATGGTCTACG